GTCCCCCCCCCCAGAAAGAAGAGGCAGTCTGCAGGATAAAAGCCCTTCCTGTTCTCTTCGCCCCAAAGAAAAGATGTGTCCCCAAAATGATCCTTTCTTTTCTTTTGTTAATAGTTTCCTTGTCCCGCTCTTCTTCCTATAAAAACCTGCTCTTTTGTACAACCCCACCCGAGCAACCTTCTACTTACTGGATGGGATGTTTGTCTGGTGTAGGAATTCCTTAATAGAGCCAGTTAGATCTCCAAATTTACTCTATCGAATTTTGCTTTTTAACAGTAGTTATGATGATTAAATGATACAATGCTGTAAAATGCCTAGACCTCAGCAAGCTCTGGTTAAACTTAGCTATCATCACTTTTAATTGTTATTATTACTATTATTAGCATCTGCCTTAAACTGTAATGTCCTGAATAAGAATATCAGAGATTAGGATAATTTCACCATTATTATGACTTTTCCCAGTAAATAGTATATACCAAACCAATAGTTTGTGCTAAGGAGAAGATTTAAGCATTTGTGTAAACAATAAATCCCAGGGCCGGCCGAGTGGCGCATTGGTTAAGAGCTGGCTTGGGATGCCAGCTCTGAGCAGCAGGGCCACATGAGGGCCAGTAACACTGCCCTCTACAGCTAAGATGGTGAACAACAGCTCGACCTGGAGCTGGGCTGCCGAGGGTCACAGGCGACGGCGTAGGCTGCAGCCCCTGCAGCAGTGGGCTGCCATAAGCTACCGTGTGTGGCTGGCAGCCGGTGTGAGTTGCCAAGAGCCGCCGTGAGCGGCCGTCCAGAGGCCGGCAACCGATCTGCCTCACCCGGGAAGAGCGCAATGATAATACCAACATGGGCCAGTGTGGCGGCGTCCTCCACAACGAGACTGAAGAACAAAAGGACAGCAACTTGTTTGTTCCCCTTACCGGATTCCCCAATGCTGTTCCCCTCCTCCAATTCCCCAATAAAATCTTCAAAAAAAAATCCCAAATATATTATAAATCTAAATGTCAAAAATGAAACCCAAATAAATTCTAGAATAAATTCTAGATGAATTCCTTTATAATGGAAGTAGGAAAGGCTTTCCTATGACCCCGTACCCTGAAGCGCAATAATAGAAAAGATAAAGTTGACTATGCAAGTTAAAAGTTTTCGTGACAAATCACCATAAGCAAAGTCAGCACACACACAAAAAAAGATAAACTGGGAAAAATAGCCGCAACATGTGACAAAAGGGGTATGTGACAATTAGGGTCCTGGCAGGAATCAGAATTCACTCCCAAATGGCTCCGATAGATTTTAATGAGATTACCTGCACAGCTCTGGGCAAGGGTTAAAGGAACAAACCCGGGCTGTGACTCCCGCTGACAAGTGGCATCAGAATGTCCTTAGCTCCCCTGGGACCGAAGAGATGGGAGAAAAAACTTGTCAGCGCCCGCGGGACGGTTGAGAACAAGTGCTCCTGACTGCTTTGTCAGGGACAGACAGTCCCCATTGAAGCTGGGAGGTTTTCGTCCTTCAAACTCGGAAACCACTGCATGCTGTTTGGAGCACCTTTTCTGTATTTCTTTTTATTTTCTCTCGGTTTGTTTAGGGATAGTCTTTTGAAAACAGACATGATACTTAACGATATTTCTATTACGAAAGTTGGAGAAAAGACGTTTTTTTCTCCCTTCAGGCCATGGGAGCAGAGGGCCCCTAGTGACCATTGTTGGAACTGCAGTAGTCTCCCGGAGAACCTGGTGGGCCTGGGAGAGGGGCTTGGGAGGTGGACCTGTGCAAAAGTGAACGGGGTGGGGAGTGGATGGGCAACAGGGAGGAAGGAAAGAGGGAGACTGGAAGGGAGAGGGAGAAGGATATGGAGAGAAGGGGATTGAGAGAGATTGGGAGGGAGAAGAGAATAGAAAAGACAAGAATGAAGAAATGCCAATACAGGATTATAAACCATATGGCATCGTCAATAGTTACTTTTAGCAAATAAATACTTCTAATAATCGTATATGATACAATGCAATAATTCCGCTACCCAGAAAACTTAGAACATTGAAATATTTCTGATTGATATGAAAGAAAGCATTTTTACAGAAAAATAATATTGCTGAAAGAATTGTTCCAATTACTGTTTGAATGAAGGCCATATGTTATACATAAGCTACAGACTTAACTGAATTTAAAGTGTCCCATAACAGATGGCAATGTTCTACCATGTGATTGTGCTAACAACAAAAATTTATTAAGAGATAAACACTACCAATGGGATGAACAGATAATGAGGCATACCTTTAAGGTTGAATTATTCATATTTTCTTTTTTCAGTCCTGTCAGTGTCTCTGTTACTTATAATGCTTTTTTGGTGATAACATGAGAAGTTTAAATTTGAGACTCTTGGTAGAAGGGAGTCTCATCAAATGGCTTTCCTGATCCCTGCCCCTTATTCCAGCCTTGTGGTAAATCCTGCAGTGAGGTGAACTTGTGACTCAAATTACTTCCTATTCTATTATGTGGAGAGCTCTGAAAAAAATTCAGATTCCTGGGCCCCTCCCAACGCCCACTAATCAATTGAACATTTCTGGAGGTGGATTGTCCCCACACTAGCATTTGGAACTGGGACCCTGGCAATATCTTGTAAATGAAAATAAGATATACCCTTTGACACAGCAATCCTACTCCTGGGAATAAAAAATCCTACCATCATAGAAATAAAAGCACCAACACAGAATATACGTACGAAAGAAAGTTTATTGTGACATTTTCTGTTGTGGCAAGAAGCGTAAAGAAAGTAAACACCCATCCACAGAGGAAAGGTTGAAAAAACTAGAATAGCCATATATTGATTATATTATTAAATAAGAAAGAGTTCACGTGATATCAATTGATCTGGAAGGATTTTTCACCATGTATATTGTTAAGAAAATATAGCAATAAATAAAAAAATATATTTTGGAAGAGTATGGATGTGTATAAAACTATATAGTGTAAGAAGTATATTTGTTTGGGAACTTAAATCAGCTAATATATTTCTCTGAAACTCTGAGCGTTTGTAGTGGCTGGCTTTTATTTCTCCTTTACCAATGGGCTGGTTTTATTTCCTAGTCACACCACAAGTGAGAGTAGGCAACGTTTCTTTTTTAAAAATAAATTTTGATGCAATCAACAGTGGCTCCTCAAATCCTGTGGGTCTTCTAGACCCTCTCCCTACCCCATTACGCGGCTGAAATATTTATATTCTCATCCCTAGCATGCCCCGCCCTCACTTTTAAATTCCCCTGCCTGAGTCCTCTTGTTCGCTCTTTCTCCTCCCTTCCCTCCATGGAACTTGGCCTCCCTCATATGTTTTATGTAAATATTTGGAGGATGAAGGGTTGTGAATAGGGGAACTCAAGGAGATGTTAAAAGTGGCCCCTTGTCTCCCCTGAGCTCTTTGGTTGTATGGAACAGACTCCCCAAAGGTTTTTCAAGGTGGGGGGCAGGGGGAGACTTGATCCAAAGATACACATGAGAAGAAGGGAAGAGCACCCTCAGCGCGGGGACTGAGTTCTTCTCTTGTTTCTCCACGCCTGAGCCTTTGCCTGAGTAAGGGACCCCTCTTTTCTCCCTCTAGACTTGGTGCTTAGACACCATTCCCTGCCCGCCACAGTCATTTTCTGTGGATGGGGCTCTGCCTTCCTCTCTTACTGCTGTAGAAGTAGAGTCCTGTCCTGCTCCAGGTCTTCAGATCTGTGGCTGCGTCTTCAGCCAGAATTGCTCCTTCCCTCTTTTCGTGGATTTCTCCTGAGGGGTGCACCTGTCTCTCTGGGCTTCCTCCCGCCAGCTATCTCTGCAATCCAGCCCAATCCCTGCCTTGACCCAGTGGGGCCATGCAGAACCCCTACCATTGACCAAATCCTATAACATATCACCTGTACGGTACAATCTCCCGAGACGACGTCTTCCAATGAGTCCGGGGGGGGCGGTGCTTCCCTGACCACACCCCTTGCGACGGAAGCCCCGCCCCCGCTCGTTCCTCCTGTTTCCGGGGCGTCGTGACGTAAGACGTGGGTCACGCAACATTGGTTCCTGGTCCCGGAAGCAAAAGGCGAAGGGGCGGAGAAGAAGGCGGAAAGGAGGGCGGGCGTCCGGGTTGGCGACAGGGGCTGGGCGGGGCCGGGCATGGTAACGGCTCGGAAGCCGGGGGGGCTGGGCCGCAGCGAGGCTGGGGAGCGGGTGTCCGCCGCCGCCGCCGCCGCCGCTCCAGCCTGTTCCGCACGGCCCACGCGGGCCCCGCCTCAGCCATGATGATCCACGGCTTCCAGAGCAGCCACCAGGACTTCTCCTTCGGGCCTTGGAAGGTGACGGCGGCCAAGACCCACATCATGAAGTCGGCGGACGTGGAGAAGTGAGGCTCCGGGGCCGGGTCGGGCGCGGGTCGGGAGCTGGGCCTGGGCGGGAGGCAGGGCCGCTCGGCGCCGCCCCCGCCCGCCCCTGGGGCGCAGGCTCGGTCCCTCCGGACGGGACCTTTGAATGACAGCCTCGGTCGGTGCTCCTCTCGCCCCTCCTGTCCTTCGGTTCGGGTCCTCCAGGCTCTGCCTGCGTGAAACTGTCACTCGAGCTGGGTTTGAGTCGTGCAGGACTGTTCCGGTGGCGCCGTAGGTCCCTGCCTGCCGCAGCCTGCGCCACCTTTCCCCCGTTTCTTCCCGGGCGGCTCTGACCTGTGTTCTTGGGGTTCAGAATGGGGATGATGTGCCAGGCGCTGGAGATACGGAAAGCGAAAGACATCCTCTGCCTCAGGGAATTCGCAGCTTCATGGGAGGGACGGACGGTCCGGTCCCAACGCGGGGCGAATAGCTGTTTCCTAGCGGTGGATGCGCGGGGTTCTGTGAGCTCGTTCAGGGGGACAAGGCATCCAGGGAGTGGGGCTGCCTGAACTGAATCTCGAAAAATTTTGGGGGGCCGGGAGAGCGGGGGGCGGGGGTGTCAGAGGGCTCGTGAAAAGTCGGGAGGTCAGGGAGGGTGAGAGCCGCGATTTGTGAGCGCTGTTCCAGTGTGGCTGCGGCGCGAGGCTCTAGGGGGGAGCGATGGGAAGTGAGAGGCGGGCAGGCCCCAGGGGAGTGGCGGTGTCGCTGAGAGGACTTGTATGCCAGGCTGGGGAAAGAGTTCTGGATTTTGTCTGACTGCCCCCCGGGTGTCATTTTATACCAAGGAGCCACATCATCAGACAGACGTACCCCCTGAAAGATTCCTCTGGGGGTGATTGGAGGGCCGCAGGACCGGGTTAAGGGACCAGTTAGTTAGAAGGGGCGGGAGGACAGGAGAGGTCTCGGAAGACTCAGTCCCTGGATTTGTTGGCCATGTCATAGAAGAGGAAGGGAAACGGAGGAATCTGTAGGGATGGCGCGATCTCCGGCTCGGGCTGGTGCACGGAAAGCACCGCCACTGAACACAGTGAGAAACAGCAGCACGGGGGACCGGTGTTGCATGGGAGCGAGGTCAGTTTGTTGAAATGTGATGAGCTGTGTGTGTGGGCTCGTAAAGTGCCGGTGTAGCAGGCATCTGGATGCATTCATCTCGGAGCTGAAAAACGACGTGCCCGTGGGTTTAGGTTTGGGAATCGTCCTTAGAATGGATACCTGGAGCCTTGGGAGTGAATGAAGATCATCTAGAAACCATCAGAAGAAAATAAAAGGTCATGAGATGGAACCCCAGAGAGCACCAGCATTTTCAGATTTAGGCAGAGGGGAGTGGCCAGGGAAGAGAGGAGAGTCATGAAAGGCTGTTCAGCTGCCCAGTTTAAAAAAAAAAATACGGAGAAGAAAGGAAAAAAAGTTCCCTTCATCCCACCACAGACTGAGTTACTTGGAGCTTTCCTCTCCATAAAGCTTTCTGTTACATATTGCACCATGTATGTATAGTTGTGCTGTGCATAAAGCAGTCAGCTTCTAATTGTTTTTACCCTATAATTTACTTACAGACTCGCTAAGAGGTGCTGGATGCATGGAGACTTTTAAAGGGAATCAAATTCCACATCTTTAGTCTCTTTGTTATTTCTAAAATAGATCCGCCTGAGTATACTTAGTCCTTCTTATAACAAAAGAAAGGCTTACCCTCCTCACCCATCCTAAATTTTTCTGTGATGCATTGCCCTAGGGTGTAAAAAATCTCTAAATAAGTGGATTATGGGAATTACTGGGTTAAGGAAGCTTCCTTTAATAAATTAAGGCATCTTAATCCCATAGAGGCTTCCTGTCTCTTCTGCCTTATAAATGGTCATACCTGTTTGTTAAGCATGAAGCTTGACTTTAAGAAATGGTGTTAAGAGAACTCGGAATTTAGAACTTTTGAAACAGTGTAAATTAGTGACAGTAATCTTTTTACATACATACCTATTGGGTTGTCGGAAAAGTCATGATGCATTTTTGCAACGAAAAACAGAAAAAATACGTCATGACTTTTCCGACAACCCAATAGAATATTTCATAGAACTACCAGAGGGGTACATACCCATTGAACTTGAACACATTATCTTACAAGATTGTTAAATGGGGTGATCTCTAATCATCAAAAAAAGGTAAAATAATATTTTATATTTTCTGTTTAAGAACACAGAAAAGTCGCGTACACCTGAAACGAATATAGTATTGTATGTTAGCTATATTTTAATAAAAAATCTTTTTAAAAAGAAAAAAGATCATAGAAAAGTCTATAATAGATTTTGAAAGCTTTCCAAAATGAATAAAATAAAAAAATTGCTACATAGGTAACTGGAAAATTCACATCCATGGACCCTCTGTGTTAGGTATGCTTTCAGGTTGCCTGGTTATTTCTACATTTGTTTATTATCTGTCTTATTCAGCCCACTACCTGGTACACTACCATAATGATACAATGGAGAGAATGGAAGATGAAAGCATTTTTAGACTTTACAAATATATCATGTTTATTAAACCATGTATTATTTAACATTTAGTAATGTAGGAAGTAGTCTGTTGGGATCAAAAGGAAACAAAAGTGCTAACAGTGACATAAAGTAATCCTACCTGATTTGGGTTATGCATAGGTTAGCCAATGAATTGCATATGCCATCTCTTCCCGAAATGATGTTTGGAGACAATGTTTTAAGAATCCAGCATGGTTCTGGCTTTGGGATTGAGTTCAATGCTACAGATGCGTTAAGATGTGTGAACAACTACCAAGGAATGCTGAAAGTAGCCTGCGCTGAAGAGTGGCGGGAAGGCAGGTGAGAATCTGGGCAGTTACGGGTAAAACAGAGCCAAGATTTGAAAGAAATAGTCAGTTATCATAGTCGTATTTTATTAGAATGAAGGGCCAGTAGGATTCCTAAGCTTGATAGTTGGATCATCCTAGAATTAATTTTTTTCATCCATTCAGTGGAGATTAGTCACCCCACCTCTTGAATACTTGTTGAGTTAAATTGAATTACAATGGAGCTGAGCTTATGTAGGTTTACTTTTTGAGCTTTCAGTGTTTTTTTAGTGATGAGGCAGTATACTATGTGCCTGTTTTTGAAGAAAAGTGTTTATGATTTGCACTGAAAATTTGTGGAGCTTAGAAATTAAGAAAAATGTATTTTCTTTGATCATCAAACCAGCAGTTATTTCATTTGTGCCTGGTATGTACCAGGTCACTTGGAGTTTGCAAAGAGGTCTGAGCCTTGAAACCCTCGGGCGGGGTGCACATTAATTGTCATCAGCACACAACAAGTTGCATAAGATCAGTGCAGAAAAAAGAGAGAGGCCTGCTGTTGGTGAATTCTAACAAGTGTATGCGTTTAGTAGGACATTTTGCATTATTGGTAGAATGTAATTTGGTGTCATGTATGAATACAGACTGAATCTGACCCTTTTCATTTTGGTATTTGAGGACGGAGGGTGAACACTCCAAGGAGGTTATTAAGCCGTACGATTGGACCTATACAACGGATTATAAGGGCACGTTACTCGGAGAATCACTCAAGTTAAAGGTAAACCTTATTTTTTGCTTTGATGAGTCGTTAATTGTCTTAGTCTTAGCATTAGAACTTTCTAGTCATGGCTAATTTTTTGCTACTACTTTCATCCTACTTACTGAAGCCTCTTCAGAACCTTAATAAGAATGGACTTTGCTTATTGATTATCAGCAGAAAATACAAGGCCATAGTGCAACCATTTTTATCCTTAAAAGTATGATTAATAGCAATGCAAACTGCCTTAATGTATTTGTCACTATCAAGAAGTGTTAAAATGTGTATCTGTCCTGGATGTAATTTATTAGGTGATTTAGACAGAACCTGCTAGCTGGCAGCTTCTATTTACAGATCAGATATGTGGGCAGGGAGGACTTTTGGTCAGACAAGTTAAGTTCTTGTCCTGCCTGTGCTGCGTGTGAACCTGCAAATTACTTTTCTGAGTCTTGTTTTATTAGTAAATTGGGTAAACAGAAATATCTGCCCCATAGCAGAATTTTGATATGAGATAATCTGTGGGAAGGCTCTCAGTAAATCCCAAAGCTGTGTTACTGTGAGGTTGTATCGGCAAGGCCTGCTGACGAGGGTACCTCATCGTAAATGACAGTAGGAAGGTGGAATCCGTAGGTGTCGTATTGGGAGCTTAGCTGTATTTTGAAATCTTACAGTGTGATTGAAATGAAGGAAATCCAGCTTAGGTTGCAGTCTCTAACGGTCATATTCTAGTATAGAGAATGGAATTATTTCAGTGTAACTACTTGCATTAGTAGTTCCTGGAGGCCTTCTCATATGTTGGTGCTTAGGCAGAGCTGTTCAGGAGGCTCAGTTGTGCGTGGGCTCCGTGGAGTCTGTGCAGAGATTTTTAGAACCTTGGGAAAGTAGACATTCACAGTGGAAACTTAGCCTTACCTTCAGTTTCTGCCACTCCTACATTCCGAGCTTTTAACTATTTTTCTGTGCTGCTTCCAAGACAAAAACAGCTTTTGAGAGAACATGTCTTCCTTCCTTTCTCCCTCCCGCTTCACCTCCCCGCCCCACCTTCCTCCCTTCCTGAGCTCTTACTACCGCTCATCTTGGGAGCTGTGGAAGCAGCAGAGAACAGACAGAACTCCCTCCTTTACAGTCTGATGGGGGAGGGAGAGCCTACAAATGCCTTATGACACTTCACAGAGAGATGGTCTCCTCTCCTCACTCCTGATTGACAACTGCGGGTTGCTAGGCCATTTGACATTTTGTTGCCAGGAGGGAGAAGATGGGAACTTCCTTTAACCCGATGCGATAATGATGATGACTGACTTCGTGGGCTGACTTAGGAGAAGCCTCCTGGCAGCTATGAAGTAGCATCAGCCGCTTTCCTACGTCCCTAGCTCCTTAAAACATTTTATGTGCGCCTTACATTCTTTCTTTCAGGTTGTGCCTACAACAGACCATATAGATACAGAGAAATTGAAAGCCAGAGAACAGATTAAGTTTTTTGAAGAAGTGCTTCTGTTTGAAGATGAGCTTCACGATCATGGAGTTTCGAGCCTGAGCGTGAAGATTGTGAGTATTGATTTTTGTTTAAAATTTCTTTCTTCCATTCCTACCATTGGTCAGAAATATAAGACTCACTTTGGACCATACCATCTTAACATGATCTCATGTACAGTTTCTCTTGGGTCTAGAGTACATCTTACTAGTATCCATTATAAAATTCACAAAATCTTAGTATATTGTCAAGACTTTAGTTTAGCAGCATTTATTAACGACCTGCATGGCCACTTTGCAGTTTGTTTGCTTATTATTTATTTGAATGAAAACTCTGACTTAATTTTCACATTTTGAATTAAAAATGATGTTGAAAGGCTCTGCAGATAGCAAGGTGGGTATCAGTTAAAGAAGTGACCCATGTGTCAGGATTTCAGTGTACCATTGAATTACACTTCAGTTTCCAGCACAGAAGTGGAAACAGAATTGGCAAGTGTTCATTTCCTGGGAGGACAAACTACTTCCTTTGACAGTGCTACTGGTGAAACTTGCCTAAAAAGAATGATAAACAGGCCACTAGCAGTTATTCATATTTGTTTACTATTATATTGTAATTGGGTTTCTAACACTTTTAGAAAAAGTTGAACTGAAGCTTTTTATTAAATATCATATTTTTTAAGACCCTGCTAAAATGTCACCTCCTCCGTGAGGCCTTCCACAGCAGAGCCAGATATCCCTTCTCCGTCCTCCTACAAGGACTTGGTTCTTAACTGCTCCACTGTAGCACTTACCATGAGGTCAGTCAAAGATGGGGTCTGGCATTACTATTCTTGAAGCGTAATCATTGCGGTGTTGTGTTTTAAACAATAAGGAGTGAAAACAAATCAAAACCAGCAATAAATTTAAGGTAACATTTTTCTGTAGAATCAGAGATGTTTGGAATTGTGATTAAGTTTTAGGGAATCCTTTACTTCAACCTCCGTATTTTGTAGACGAGGCCCCAGAAGGCTAGTTGGTCGAAGGTTGTGAAACTAATTAGGGACAAAGTTTTCTCTGAACCAGTATATATCATTATTCTAGTATTAGATCATTAGATCAGTACATGATCTAATCTAGCACCGTACTCCCTGTTCACCTACACTTCCCCAGTTTATCTTTTGTCGTTTAGATGTGTTCACTCTGACTCACCCAGCCCGGTCCCTGTCCCTTGCCACTTGTCTACCCACCTACAAAACTATGAAGTTGAACGTTCATTATGCGTGTGTATGTTTGGGTGTGCATTAGTATCCCAGTGGGTGGGTGCATCTATGATGCACACAGGTGGGAGGGTATGTGGGGAGCACACGTGTTTTTGTGGATGGAAGTGGTGGAGAGGTTACGAACATAGTGTATCATTATGTGAGTGCCCGAGTAAAGAGTAATGTCACCGCCATTGTGAAATGTCCTTTCTTTGCACACAGCGAATCAGTTCACCTCTCTACCCTTGTCCTCTAGGACCTAGATCAGCGGTTCTCAACCTGTGGGTTGTGACCCCTTTGGGGGTCGAACAACCCTTTCACAGGGGTCGCCGGGTACTCGTATGTGGGCGTATCTGCATGTGGGCCTGGAGACGGATAGAGGAGCGGTGTCTCGGTTCCTAAGACCAACGAAAATATGTGTTTTCCGATGGTCTTAGGTGACCCCTGTGAAAGGTTGAGAACCGCTGCCCTAGATCATGGTAGGCTTAGCTTTAGACAGGAGAGTGCAGTGCTTCTTCTATGGTGATAGGAGGAAAGGGGAACAGAATGTTGCCAAGTCCGCCTCTAGTCCAGTGAGTCCCAACCCTGAGTTTCTCACAGTTATCAGGTTAGATGCTGAGTTGTCTTTAACACTGTAGGACATAGCATAGTTCTTACCTGATGGTACTTGCGAGCAGTACACTTGCTGTGCTTGTGGGCTGGAAAGATGGCCAGGCAGGTGTGGGCGTGGAGGGAACAGGTCGGGAAGGGCTCTTTAGAGGGGGGTCCCTGATCTGGGCTTTAGGTGCAGACATCCCTCTTCCTGCTTTCCCATAAATCAACATAATGCCTCATTTATGAACTAAAAGCAGATTGATTTAGAATTAAGTGATATGTGTTTCAACGTGTAAATGCATAATATGACTACACTAACAGACATAATGAAGTATCAGGGACGTAAGTGTGCATATTGAATGACTGTGGATGTGACAGTTACAAGTGTAGGCTGACAGAGATGCTCAAATAACACAGCCTGGAACCACCATTGGTGATATGTACCCTTTCAAAGTGGTGAACAACTCTTCGTAAAATTCCAAATCAAACAAAACATCATCTTTTCTTGATTTACAAGGCAATTGTCTTTCTGGGTGATTGAGTGAATTTTGAATTTATATGTAAAATGGAATTAGTTTGTAAGGTCAGACAATGATAAGTCGTTTTTCTCACCTACGGGGACGCCAGAGGAGCCACATGCGGGTTTCGTGGGATGTAGGATTGGACTTTGTTTTATGGGACTGCCCTGTGCCTCCCAGAGCATCTGACGTTCTGGCCCTTAATGTGACTGTTGGTTGCTCATCATCACAAATGTCCAGATGCCCCGGAAAGAGAACTACTGCCTTATAATACGCAGTTGTGAGTTGTGAATTGTGGTAGAATTGGGACGACTGGGTCCTCCTAAACCCTAGTCTCCCCACTGTGCTGTGCTGAGATGGCACTTCTACTTCCTGTGTTGTGACATGCAACTGTTAATAATTAATTTTGAAATCTGAAGAAATAGTGTAAATCAGTCTTTCCCATAAGTTTTAAGTAGCACTTTGTCAGGTCACGATGTGTTTCCAAATCAACTTATTGTGACATATCAAGTTGTCATGAGTCAGTTCTTCCTCCAGCTTTTCTTTCCTTGAGTCTCGCTTTTGGGTCTGTTGCTGCTGACTCCATTCCAGTGCAGCGTGACCCCAAGCCCTTTCTCTAGCCGAGAGCGAGCCTCCGTTTCATTCAGCCCACAGCTCATGAGCACCTGCTGTGTGCTAGCTGCTTCTCTAGGTAGTGGGGACACAGCAGATATTCCCGCTTCGTGGAGCCTACATCAAGTGGAGGGGATGGGCTTTAAGCAAGTAAGCACACAGATGGACGTCGCCAGGACCTGCTCATTTGTAGTGGAGTAGAGTACTGTGGAGAATAACGCCATTTTTTAAGTGAATATAATTTTCACATTATTTGGGTATCTGTTAAGTCTTTTTAACTTCAGTATATTTTGACTTAGAAAAAATATATTTCTATTGTAGGAAACTGAAACCAGCATGTTAAATGATATAATATAAACAAGGTTTGGAGTCTTAGTGGGAGCTAGGAAAAAGAACCTCTACTTCAGAGATTCCTATATACTGCTAATTCAGCTCTCCTCCAATGCTTTAAAAAGTTTTGTTTCTCTTAGCAAAGTAACAGAATGCTTACTTTTCATTAAAGTATTCATGTACTTTTTTTTTTTTTTAAGAGAGTAATGCCTTCTAGCTTTTTCCTGCTGCTGCGGTTTTTCTTGAGGATTGATGGAGTGCTTATCAGAATGAATGACACGAGACTTTACCATGAGGTATTTATTCTTGTTTAGTGAATATACTGATTGATACTGGGCCTGTTCGTGTTGTTTCATTGTCTGAGAATTTGAAATTAAATAATGCTTTATATTATATGGCAATCTTTCTAACCTTTAAGATTGGATGTTTCACATTCACTGTTGACTGAGGTTACTGAAACATTACATCTTCCTTTCCAAAAGTTCTGGTAGCTGCAGATGTTTTCTACAGGTCACTCCCTACTTGGGGAGTCTGATGCTTTTTAAAAAGGCTTGTAGGTCCTTAATCTGTGTCTAAGAAAACCGTCCCTTAACTCTCAGACCTTTGTTTATAGTATGCATTATTTATATGAGGTCCTGACATTAGAAATAGCAATAACATGGCCTCCTGAAATTTGTATCCCATAATTATTTAGGTAGTTGTTCTAAAGTCTGAAAGCTCCGTGCTCCATCTGAAGGAACAGTTAACAAAGTATATAAAAAATAAAGTGTTAAAAACAGGAGGAAGCTTAAATAGAAAATTCTTCTAGCTGCTTCATCACAGCCAATGTCTCCCTGCACATTGGTGATCATGCAGAAGGAAGACTTAGAGGAGAGACCCCAGCATCATTTAGGGTAGGCGTAGCAATGGTTAGCTCTCTAACAGCCTCGGAAATCAGTGAACGTTGTTATGATCTCTGTCTTATAGCGGAGGTAAAGAAAGACCCTCACTTGCCTGCACTGTACAGTTAATAGGTGGCAGACCTGGGATTTGAGCCCAGTAGGATGGGACTGGATTGGTGTTTTCCCAGGCCCTGCACTCAGGGATGTTGTTTTCTTTTCTTGAAATAACACAGTGGCTATGATGCACCTTTTTCTTTTTAAAAGTGGTACAAAAATAGGCTGCATTTTTTTTTTCCTCAAAAAGGGTGAAATTTAAGTATTAAAAATGCTTATGTTTTTAACTCAACACCATTGAGTTTTTAAGGAATTCTCCTTAAAAGATTCTAATACACAATAATCCACAAATATTCATCAGACAGTTGCTGAGAGTTGTACGAGGTATGACTGAAAAATATGGTGAAAGTTTAAATTAAAAAAATTTATTACAATAAAAGACACATTGCCATTAATCCCCCTCAAAATACTCCCCTCGCTTCGAACACACATATCCCATTGTTCTTGCCTCTTTCTGAAGCAGTTCTGGAAGTCCTCTTTTGTGAGTGGCTAGCTGTGCTGTCGTGGCTGCTTCGATGTCCTGAATCGATTCAAAACGTTTACCTTCCATGGTCATTTTGACTTTGGGGAAGAGCAAGACATCGCACGGTCCCAGAGCCAGTGAATAAGGTGGATGAGGACACACCGTAATGTGTTTATTTGACAGAAATTGCCGTGCACTAGAAGTGATGTGTGACATGGAGCGTTGTCATGAGGGAGGATGAAGTGAAGACCCTCACGAAAGAGAACTTCCAGAACTGCTTCAGAACGTGATTAGGACGATGGGATAAGTGTGTTTGAAGCGAGGGGGAGTATTGTGAGGGGGATTAATGGCAATGTGTCTTGTACTGTCATAATTTTTTTTGTTTAAACATCCACCGTATTTTTCGATCACACTCGTATGTATATGGATGTCCACGGCAATGTTGTTTATAATCCAAAATGGCGGAAGGAAGAAACGCACTGCCCACTGAAAGGGCACTGAGTAAATTGTTTATATCTATATAGTAGAAAAACATACAGTAGAAAATTAGAATTAATGGCAGAGAGTTATATTTAACTGATTTGGAAAGATAGGCATAAGATTATGTAAGATTTCATGTAGAGATTTCTAAATGTTAAGGGTAGTGTTATCTATAGGAGCTGTTTTTACTGATGATTTATACTGTATATACTTTGTTATTTGATTTTTTTTAATAATCTGTCTTTATTGATATAAAAAATTAAAATAAAACAAAGACAATTATACTCCTTAGGGAGTATAATCTTGTGGTTTTCTTTTATTGAAAAGTATTTCCCCAAAAAACAAATTATAATAAATTGCTAGGTTTTGTTTGTTTGTTTGTTTTTTAAAGATTTTTATTGGGGAATTGGGGGGATGGGAACAGTGCTGGGGAATTGGGGTAATGGGAACAGACAAGTTGCTGTCCTTTTGTTCTTCAGTCTGGTTATGGAGGATGTCGCTTCACTGGCCCATGTTGGTATTATCATATTGCTCTTCCTGGGTGAGGCAATCAGTCACTGGCCACTGGACGGCTGCTCACGCTGGCTGCTGGCCGCTCACACTGGCTGCCAGCCACTCATGGTAGCTCACGGCAGCCCACTGCAGCAGGGGCTGCAGCCTATGCTGTCGCCAGCGACTCACGGCAGCCCAGCTCCAGGTCAAGCTGCTGTTCAGCATCTTAGCTATAGAGGGCGTAGCGTCACTGGTCCTCATATGGGATCCGAACCAGGGTCCTGCTGCTCAGAGCCGGCGCTCCCAAACCAACTCTTAACCAACGGCACCATACGGCCGGCCCTAAATTGCTGTTTTAAAACCTAAGTTAAACAAATCTTAAATGGGGAAAATTGAAGTACCAAAAAAAGTGATTTTAAATAAGCAATTTGGCAAGAATTTGTGGAAATGGGAGAGAATATAATTTTTAAAAATTCTTTTTGGAACATAAAAGTAGCCACAGTTATATAGGAAGCTGATAATATTTATAGCTTAAGGAAAAGATGTAGTTACAAACTTGAATCTCTTGCATATCTCACTTATGTACATATTTACTTTGAAAGTGAAACCTTTGCTTGTGTTTCTCTTACATGGTAATTATTAAATCTGTTTACATATTGGTATCTGATGTTAATGTGATTTATAGGGATTGGGATTAGTAATTCAGAATTAATGGTGAGAGTTAAATAGCAATTATTTCACTGGAGAATGAGAGAGTATTATTAGGCTTCATGCTACTTTCACAACCTTTCCTAAAAGGTAAGCAGTTTTGTTTAATAGAAAGGATTATAAAATCAATATAAATAAATTTGTTACAACTTTTTTTATTTTTAAACTTAGGCTGACAAGACCTACATGTTACGAGAATATACATCACGAGAGAGCAAAATTTCAAATTTAATGGTACAGTATTTAAAGATCCCTTTTTGGACGTTGGATTTTATTTTAAATGTGGTATCTCCCCATGCCCCACCTATCCAGCCGAATCTACATCCCTAAACCCATTAATTCACCTGAAGGGCTCTATAGGATAAATCCTACTCCCTATAACTTTATTGAGCTTACCTCAAGTCCAGGAACAGCTAGCATTGTTAGAGGTACCTTAGCTATCATCCAGTCTAACTTGCACATTTTATTCTGGAACAGCTGAGACCCAGAGGTGTGAGTTCCCCTGAGTCACGCATCTGGAGCTGCTGCTGGCACCAGCTACACTTGCTTTCCACTTACTACCTGCCACCTTAGGATTCCTTTCACCCAGTCTCCTCTTCCCCCTGAAATGTGGCATTTCTGCACCATGACTTGTTGGTTTGGGCATAATTTCTTTTTTGTTCCCCTGGGCCTTGTAAAGGGCTTCCTTGGAATTTAGGATTCTGTAATGAATTGCTTAAAAAGTGATCCTTTCCTGCAAACTTGATGTTCTTTTTTTGCTCTTTGTGCTTCTGCCTGGGCCCAGTATCCATGGGTTAGATTAGTTACTGAGATTCCACTATAGACTGCATACTCAGTTCTAACTGAAGGCGGCTGTTTTCTAGGAACAAAAGCAACAGGGAAAGGAGACTGGCTTAAGATACAGTCAGTTCTTAGGGCCTTTTTGGGAGTGTTGTAAACACCACATTCCCATGATCTTTGAGGACATCATCCAGTGACAGCTGCAGAGTCAGTAACGAGAATCAGCATCAATACTTAATGATGCTCTTTATCTACATATATTGCACTTCATTTTAAAATTTGCATGCTTTATGAATGCTTGAACCGAAGCATTTCTAAAAAGTATCGATGCAATAACAATGTATGCTAATATGATATATGTATTTCCTAGCACGTCTCACCTTCCCTCTTCACGGAACCTAATGAGATATCACAGTATTTACCGATAAAGGAGGCAGTTTATGAGAAGCTAATATTTCCAGAAAAAATTGATCAGAACCCTGCAGACTCACAAGAAAATACACCTGTGGAATAGAATGTGATGTACCATGTCCTCATTGTGGAATCTGACTGGAGACCTTGGCTTTTTGGACGGGGGTATTTTTATTATGAGAATTCATTGCCTTGTCTATGTGCAGATTTTCTGTAGCCTTAAAGGAAAACCAATAAAAGGTTGTCGCAGGTAGGTTCCATTCATTCAATAGCTGTTTGTACTGTCTATCTTGAAATTCATATTCAGGATTTATATTTCCTGCAGTTAGATTCGGATTTCTAAATTGTCACAAAGTGAGATGTCACCAGAAGGGATGTGTGTGTCTCATGAGCAGTGGGCATAACCTGCATCCATCATGAAACACTCTTCTCCCGTGAGGAGGTTCAGTGTGATTCCTGAATCGCCCGTGACCTTCATGGGGCTGCTGACAGTGCACGTTGACGGACCAGCTCTTCACCTGGGCTTTGTGATATTTCTTCACACTTCTGGAGGCATGACTGGAGGCCTCCTAGGAAATTGACCTCATACTTAATGATCTTCACCCACAAAATAAAAAAATATATATGTTTCCCCCCTAAATTTAAATTGGCTTTTGAAGTTGAGAGGAAGTTTCAGACATAGAACCAATTAGCCTAGTTTTTTGGAGAACTTCAACTATTGTGTCTGTGGAGACACGTGAGCGTGGTTTGGCCCTGACAACTAGAACGTCAGAGCTGTCTTTCCACCATCTCTAGGTGCTTTTTCTATGTGGTTCTACTTGTACTGACACTTTTTTACTTCTGTCTTCCATGTGACCACAGAGTGGATAAATTCATCGAATATTGAAGTTGGTATTGGCCCTAAAAAGTTTGAAGAGTTAATATGGATTGTTTTTAGCACACGTTACATTGACTCCTAAAGCAACCAGATTAATTTTCTGCTTAAAATACTTGAGAGGTAGCTGTAGAGGAGGAGGGGGCTTATTTTTAAATATAAAAGCCAGTTTTTCTATTTTAAGATTCATGTTTTTAACATTCTAGGGGATCCAGTAGGGTGTAATTAATTAGTACAAGACCTTGGCAGTATAGAACGTACACAGAAATAGATTTCAGATCTATTTGGTTATTTTGATGATGACCCTTTAAACATTTTATATTCTTTTCTGCCTTTCTAAGTGGGCTTCCATAAAGTGGAAAATGGTTACAAAGGACCAAGTAAAGAGTTACTTGAAATGGATTTTTTAAAATGATTTTTTTAAAGGGCAGGGGAAAAAATATCACCCCTTATTTCTGGTTTGAAATAACTATTGTACATATTTCCACTTGATGGATAAATCATTAACTAAGAATATTTAATTAAAAAGTATTAGCAAAGCTCTTCAGATATTAGCCTGAAGATAAATTTTACTGAAACAATACAATTAGATATTCATTCATTACTGAAACTCTGGTGTGCTGTTGTGCGTGTTGTTGTTTAGCTGATTTTATTAGCTAAATTTGGTCACAAATGGTTTGGTATTCATCTGCCTTCTGCTGTATCACCTGCAAGGGAGAAGAATTCAGGACTTCGTTGACTTCACACAAAACGTGGCATGTTTCTGTATATTACATACACCTGTATTTAATGTTTTCTCTTAGGACAGGCAAGTGTATATGTTGTACTCAGCTTTCTGTTTTATTTGCCATGTAGATTTGAACGGAACAGCTCGTTATTCAGACAATTATAAGAAATGAGAAACGTATAAGAATAATCATTAGTCGGAGTTTCTGGGAACATCATATTATATATATTTTACCTTGATTGAGATGTCTTAGTCTTTGATTTAGTCTTAGATGACTTATTTTGAGAATCCATTGTTAAGCATTGTAGGGAATGGAAAGAATTGACGTTTTTTTATTGAGGGTGGGTGGGTGCATAGAAGAATGTACATTACTTCTGAAAATTTCATGAGTTTATTCATGCGGAGAATACTGAAAATCTGTATTTGCCCATTGCTAAATAAGACTATACCATTTTATATTTATTTGTCCCAAGTGTTTTTTTGTAAGAGGAGAATAAACAATAAGGAATTACTGATCTATGTTTTGCTGTTTCATTTATTCCATTTTTTCTTGAAGCTTAAAGAATGGTTTGGTATAGTTTTCTCATCTGTGACTTACGTTTTGAACTTGGTCAACTTTGCGGCGAAAATCCCTATGCAGATTATAAATGAAAATCTAACAGGTAGTTCCAAATATAATCCCCTTCGTTTAGCTTGTGGCTCTTCCCCTTCTCCTTCTGCCCCCCCCCCTCCCCGACTCCCAGTACTTCTATGGATGTTGTAACTAGCCTGTGTTTTCCATTTGGGGTTAATGTTTCCTGCTTTTGAAAATACAAATACTCGCTATATGTATAATTCCATTTGGTTTTGAGTACTGTGTCCTATATGGCACTAGGAGGGAGTACAATAATGAAGAGATGCAGTATATGTCTTCATGGGGTTACAGTCTGATGGAGGAGATAGAGTAATTACAAATCTTATTATGTGCAATGATAGAAATAGCACTGATTTAAGAGAATAACAAAATGAACTTTAGTAGAGGTTGTTTCTGAAGAGAAGGTAGAAAGCCTCAAGAGAATGCCACTCCTAGCTTCATAAGGAGAAAAGGCTGGGCAGTCTACAGAATTACAGCTTTTCTGAGTGTATCAGAGAGCTGAGGTTGCCACACAAAGTAAGCCGAGTCCCAGAGTGATGAGCCCTCCTGCGAAGGGAGCGGGGACTTACAAATTGCTTGATCTCAGAACGTGAGAGAAAGGTGGCCACTATACAAGCACGTGCGAAAAAAATCAGCTACAATTTTAGCAGATTTCTTAACGTGTGGGCTAACACATCAGTTTGGAATGGCTGAGCGTCTCAAGGGGACTTCATATACACTCACAAGTCCTCGAGGATTTACACGAGGGGCCCATAAAAAAACACGGAAGCCGGGCAGGAGGTGTGAAGGTCCGGTATGAAACGCTGCCCGATTTCCCCAGACCCTATTCTGAGCAAGATGCAAAGTCTCAGGCTGCTGGGGGGAGGAGCAGCATCATATCACCCCCAGGGCCCAGGCTAAAATCCTTTATTTCTGGGGGAGGAGGAAAGGCAAAACCCTTCTGCCTGTGGGGGAGGAGTAGGAAATGCTGTGCCTTCAGGACTAAGTACCATTACTGCTAGAGAAGTTGACGCAAAACCCTCTGACGTTGGAGGAGGGACAGAAACGTGGGCCCAGGGTCCCACAGGGATAACAAAACAGGTGTGCTGTCAACGGGTTGGGGGTGGGGTGGGGGGAGAGCGGGTGTGAAACACACAAGACCAACGGTAGATTTAAGACAGGTTGGCTACGGCACTGGACACCGGGGCAGGAACGCTGAGAAATCCACACCGCTAAAGCCTGAGCGCCCGGAGCCTGCCTGAGCTGAGACTATCCAGGGTCAACTGAGAAGACCCGCGCGCGCCCACCACTGGCGTAGCACAGGTACCAAGGACACCAGTGAGCACTGGAGAAGCGGCAAGGGTGCAGAGATAGACCCTCTCTGGGGTCCACTCTGAGCGCCGAAACGGCGTGTTTATTCACCAGCACACAGCACTCAAGAAGTGTTTTTCGAGTGAATAACAGATTAAGATATTCATGTATTACGTTCCCCAAACATAACTACTCGCATAATGGTAGAACCAGTGAAACGGACTCGGGTGCAAATTCTAACATTCTCCAACACAGGCTCAGCAGCGCTGGGGTCCAGTTTGAGGTCCGTGAAACCAACCAACCATCTAATACTCCTCCCGCGCTCCCTCCCCCGGGATCCGCCCCGGCCTCGGGTGTTTGCCCGGAGCACACCTCCCGATGCATTGCCAGTTGAAATGAGGATTCTTCTTTTTCATGTTGCCACAACGCTTGTTATAGATTGAACTCGCTCCGGTTGGATTCGGGCGATTTTCAACAAATCGTCTCCACCGTGGCAGCAATCAGAAGGCGGATTAGGCACACGCCTGCACCCACTCCGACTCGGGAGCCTGTGGAGGGGCCAGGCCGGGCCGGGGTTCCAGCACGTGACGCCACTCAGCGTTTCTGGAGCCAACGAGGCGGGGGAGGGCGGCGGGGGGCGGGGGACGCGGGCCGGACGCGGAATTGACGTTTAGCAGACGTGATG